TCTCTATCTTACTTTCTTTCTTTCTCTACCCACCCTCTCTCTACATATCCTCTCTCTTTCTCTCTCTACCTACAAACCTGCCCTCTTTCTCTTTCTAAGCATGCGAGAGCCATGAAACTGCCCACATCGCTTCTCTCTCTTTTATTTTGTCCCATTGTTCCACCCTCTCTCTATATTCAACCATAATAAGCATTAAAGAGATAGTTTCAATAAGCATTAAAGAACAAATTGCATCTTTTTCAATTAAAATCCATTATTCAAATCTTTGTTTTCTTCCACCGTTTTTCTTTAGTTTTAGCAATGCCCAAGTACATTGCACTGATTCTTTTCTTTTCCATTTCCTTTATCACAGGAGAAGTTCTTGGGGCAGAGAGAGAAGAAGAAAGTAAAGCTTCGGGCTAGAGAGAGAAAAAGTACACAATAGGATTTTGCGGTTTTTAGGCCAGCTTGAAGTAAGTTTTAAGCAATTTTCAGGCAGTGTTATGGTGAATGAGAAGGCGTGAAGAGAGAAAAAGAGATGGTAGGTAGAAAGAGATATGGTGGGAAGAGAGAGAAAGAAAGAAGGTGGGTAGAGAAAAAGAGAGGGCGGATAGAGAGAAAGAGAGGGCGGATAGAGAGAGAGGGCTAGTAGAGTGGGCATGTAGAGAGAAAAAAGAGAGGGTGGGTAGAGAAAAGAGAGAGAGGGTGGATGGAGAGAGATAGAGAGATAGAGGGCAGGTAGAGAGAGAAAGAGCCAGTTGTGTAGAAAGAGAGAATGTGAGAGGGGACGTAGAGAGAGAGATGAGAAAATGGCATTTTAATCAGAATTTTGTTGATTTTTTTATTGGGGGGATAAATACAAAAAAATTAATGTTGTGTGATACTAAGAGTATTAGGGAGTAGGATGTCCAGAAAGTTGATTTTGGGAGGTATTCATAATTTACCTGTGTTTTAATTTTGTAGGCTATGCCTTTTATAGTCCTTACTATACCACATAGCTTCTTCATTTGTATCTACAGTCCATGTCATCTATTTTTTTAGCATTAAGCCGCCATTATCTGAAATTTGTATTCTTAGATTATTACAGCAAGATAGACTTTGAGTTTCATCAGATCCATGGCCAATTGGAAAGTCCACACCATGTCATACCGTAGTCCCGTTATATGCCATATAGTTTACTCTCCATATCTACGTACTATGCCATGTAGTCTACCCCAACGACCTATTTGTGAGAATGAAGCCTCCATTACACTCATGGTGACTATTTTCTAATATATTCATTTAAAGAAAGACATTTAAAGTATAAAGTTCATGAGTTTTGTTGCCAATATTACTAGCTTCAATCATACCCATAGGAGTCGTTCCATATAGTGCACATACGGTTAGGGGTGAGAACGGGTAGGATTGGGGATGGATCCAATCAGATCTGGATCTTGATCTGAATAGTATACATTGGATCAGAGTCCAAACCAGATCTTGGAGATTCGAATCTAGATCCAGATCTGAATAAGTATATATTGGATCCGAATTATTCTATATATATCCCATTTAAAAAATTTGTATATATAAAATAAAAATTTTCTATTGAAAAAAAACTGGGTTGGATCTTGATTTGGATTCGAGTTGGATCCAGATAGGATCCACCTGCACCCAGATCTGATCTGCATTTTAATTTTGGACCTGATTTTTTGATCCAAATCCAGATTTTAGATCCAAATTTTAAGTCCATACCTATATCCGAATAGATCTGAAATCCAGATTTTAGATTCGGATCGGATCAATTCTCACCCCTAGATACTATATATATACCAATTACTCACAAGTGGGAATGCCCACGCTGGATCTTCCTTTCCGTTAGTATGCACACTGATGGATGCATTCTAGAGTGACCGATTATAGTGTAAGATAACTTTCTTGGTTGGGATCCCATAATTGAGGAGTGAGAAGTCCCCGATCCCCCGAACTATAGAAGGTGGGGATCATACTTGGGGGGTGACCTCAAGCAAAGGAGTTCTTATGGTTAACTCTTTCGTAATTGAGTTGTAATCAATTTGTATCAGCCTTGTAAAGTGAATAAAAGCAATTGTGTTGAATTTTGATGTATTTGAAAGTGTATGTAATGTAGTGGAAATTGTATGGTGCTGAACTTTGTAATGGATGAAGCTTCCATAGGGCCTAGGATTCATGAAAACAAAATAAAGCTTCACATCAAATCCTCATTCGAAAAGCACTTTCGACATAAAAAATCTTCATGATGGCTCTAAAATTAATTTCTAATACCAACAATAAAATTTGAAACTCAAAACATGGTACTGATCTTGCGAATCTATAAACAGTTATTTTTTAGGGTGAAATGGATGGTCTACATGATTTGTTGCAATATACGCTATTTTTAGAATTTAAAATCCTAATGTTTTTGCGCAATCATAATGTTCAAGTTGAGATGATCGATTTAAATGTTTTTCAACACTTAGATTGCAAATTTTGATAAGTTATGAGGTGGGGCTTCACGTATAGGGCTGCAACCCTATGAAACCATTTTCCTTTTGTAATAAGCATATTGTCTCGCTTCCTTAGTGTAATTGAATGGAAAGTGCATTGGGGCTATGAGAACGTCTTTTTCTTTATTTTTTGTGTTGTAAAACTGAATTTCAAGGGGTTGTATCAGTCTCACTTTTTTGTACTTTTGTTATTTTATGTGCATGTTATGATCACATTAGCCCCTCTTAATAAAATTTTAAAAGGGTATACGCCGAAGGGGCTAGGTTGTACATCCAACATAAACCCAATTAGTAGTTGTTTCTCTAATGTTTCTATTTCCATTAGTTTTTTGTCTTTCATGCGTTTTAGTTGATTCCAATCCTAATTGATCCACTTAGTTTTACTGAAAACTAGAAGAATATTAAGTATCTGTAAGTTTTGGGTGAAATCTGGCCAGCGCCGCTGGCAATTAATAGAGGGATCATACCATGGACTCTTATGAATTGTAGTTTAATTCGACCTATTTTTTTCATTATTTTCAATACATTTTGCACATAAATTTGAGAGGGGAGAGCTAAACTTTTTCTTCCTATACTTGTGTGTATACAAGTACCCGTTTTTTGAAATATTTAGCGGTTTTCAAATGCGTAAGTGGGAATGGATGAAGCTGGCAGAATGATAAAAGGCCAATTTGGATATACCCAAATTTAATTTTTTAGATGAAAAGCGAACAAAGTTTGTCTAAGGAACTAGACGCAGTTGGATATTGCTAATTTTTTGCATACAACTAGAAAATCTATCAATTTCACCCCAAAATCTGAATTTAAAAATTCAACTCATAAGTTTTTGGCTTTACTAGCACACACTCTCTCTCCCTCAAACCGACCCAAGTGCAACTCTCTCTCATCCCTTTCTCTAGCCTCTCTCTCTCTCTATATATATATATATATAGGTGTGTGTGGCATCAATCCCCCATCTTTCTCTGCAGCTATAAGCCCCTTCTCTCATTATCTGCCTTCCATCCCTTTCCTCTCTGCAGCATTTCTTCATGAAATCCCTCCTCCATAACCATGAAACTCAATTAAATACACAGATAACCAATTAAAAAAAATTCTCAAGACCTCACTTATTGATTCTCAAGAAATTAGTTGAAAAAAACTCAAAAACCTGCTTTTAGGCTGGGTTTTGTGGGTGAATTAGTGGAAATAGCACTAACTCTTCTTCAAAAATGGCGATTTTGGGCTTGTTTTTCCATGGATTTTTACAATGGGAATGGGAAATCCACTTTTTCTTAGAAAAGAAAAGCGATGATCCACTTATAACAAAATTTTTTCCAAGTTTTTCTGATGAGAAGAATCTTCAATCATTGAGGCGCTAAAATAAACCAAATTATCAACAAATTGGCTAATTTAAAAAGATCATTTTTCTAATTTACAATGATCATTTCACTCTAAGCATGCGCTTGTGTTGAGGTTTTGGAATTTTGAACAACTAGGTGTAGTCTTTGTAAATTTGTCCCACTTAAGCGGCCCAAGCCAACTAACATAAATAACATAAATAACCTGGATTGTTGAAAGTTCCAATCCCTGGAGATGTTTGTCCCCTAAAATATTTTGTTAATGGTTTGGAAAAGGAACAAGTAACATATTTACATTATTTCATTAGGTAGCCCTAGCCAAATGACAAGATTATCCACACTTGTTATGGATTCCAAACTTGGGTCATCTATTTTTTTGTTAAAATATCTAATTTTACATTAGAACCTCAAAGAAACAAGCGTATTATGGTAGTTTTGCCTCGTCTCATTGCAAATTACAAAATATCGATTCTAGGACTTGAAAGAGGCATTTTCAACATTGAAAAATTGTTTCATGAATTAGCAGCTCTTGCGCCCACTGACTTACAAATATCCATATTAAAGATGGATATTATTCTAAAGTATATTGTCCATAAATAAGATATGAACAATATATAAAAATATACTTAAAAGTTATATTTTTAATTTTAAACTTTTAGTTTTCCTTTCATATTAATGATCATCTTGGCCTAGGCGATGAATCTACAAAAAAAACAATTGGATAAAAATTTCATCTTTAAAATGGATTTTAATGGAGGGCCACATATGTACATTAGAGTCGGCCAAGTCATAGAAACCCATCCTGCAATATTTTCTCAAAATACTAAAGTACTTGTGTGTGGAATGACCTTATTAAAGCACCCTTAAAACTGGTTTATTACACTATTCATAGTGACTTTTTGAGATGATCGGAGGATTTAAAAATAGCCGTTTTACCCCTTACTCAACAAAACAAAAAAAATCCAGTTTCCTTATTATTCAAAAGGATGGCCGGGAATAAATTGGAAAAACCCAAAAATTCCGCCAGGGGAAGGAGAGAGAGAGAAGTTCTCTCAAGTGGCGTGGGCAGTTGGAGGGTACTTGGATCGGAACATTTATTTCCTTTTTAACTATCTATAGCAGCAGAGAGAGGGGGTACAAAACCAATAAAGGAAATATTAAACAGAAAAACAAAAAAAAAAAAAAAAAAAGGAAAAAGGAAAAACACGAAAACAGGAGAAGATGAAGGAAAGGTTGCGCCGCTGCGGTCCAAGTCCAACAGGCTACCACCTGCCGAGCTCAGAGAGAGCAAAGGTCAGTAACAGTCCATTCACAGTCCCTCCCATTCTCTAACTCAAACGGAGCACCTGGATTAGGGTTTTGAGCTCGATCTGCTCCGATCTGGCCTTAACAACTCCACATTGTCACAGATCTGACTTGCTCTACAATCAAACAGTCAGCATTGAAGAAAGCTTCTGCATATTTCTCACTCCTTTTGTTTCTCCTTTGGCTTCTCTCTAGCGAGAGATAAAGTGAAGTTATGATTCAGTTTTGGGGACTGTAACATCTTGCAACAGAAGAGGTGGTGGAAATGAGTGAGACACTGGCAATTGGTTTTGTTGTGAATGAATGGAATGATGATTGGTTGAGGAGGATAATAGTGTGAGAGAGATGCCACCTTCTCCGGCAGCCTCGATGAGGTGCTCCCCTCCGGTTGGGAGGTCGAAGGCAGTGGAGCACCACAAGCGTGGACGCAGCCTTGAGGGAGGCCTTCACTTGATGAAAGGGGACAAAGACGATGACCTCGCCTTGTTCAATGATATGCACACAAGGGAAAGGGACAACTTCCTCCTCCCTTCTGCAGATGATTTTGAGGACTCTATATGTAATACCCTTATCTCTCTCTCTTTCTCTCTTGTTTGATTATTTGATTCTCATGGCTTATTCCTTGCTCTGTGCATTATTGGGTAATCAATTATGTTTTCATTCCTCCTATCTCATTCTCATGGCTTACAGCTTGCATTTGTTGTTGTTGGGTTGTGTGGTTTAAAAATCTTGAAAGTGGACCATAGGGTAACCTTGTTCTTGTGTGTTTCTTTGATATCAATTTGTACGCTGCAGCGATGAATTTGAGGTACTTCTCAGACTTCAAGCTTGGCATCTCCATACCAGCTAGGGGTGAGAGCAGTGATCTTCTCAACGCGGATGGCAATAAAAATGACTATGATTGGTGAGCTTGGTTTTCTCTCTTATCTGCTCTTTCCAATTAACCTCAAAATTTATTGAAATGGCTGTCATCGCTGCTATTTATCAGGCTTTTAACTCCTCCAGACACCCCACTTTTTCCATCCTTGGATGATGAGACACCGCCTGTGAATCTTCCCCTACGTGGAAGACGTAGAAGCGAACCTATTGCCATTTCAAGATCAGCTACAGTAAGGCTTCAGTTCACTTAGATTGTTGAATGCTTACTTCCTGTTTTTCTCTCGTATCTATTATTTACAGTTTCGGATAATGTGGGGATTCTTCTTCTAATTCTGTGCTGTTGGTGTTGACCACATAATAACATTCACCACATGGACATCTGTTCTTTTCCTTTTTTTTTGTCTGGTGCAACCTTTCGGTAACATCAGATGGAGAAGAGCTACAGGAGGAATAGTCGGAGTAGTGCAAGCCCAAACCGCTTGAGCCCATCACCTCGGTCAGGCACCAGCACCTTTCAATCGAGAGGGAGGCCCTCTTCAGCTCCTACTACGAGTGTGAGTCCAGTTCTAAGGTCTTCAACACCGTCAAGAAGACCTACTACTCCGCCCAACAAGCCAGCAACAACACTTCCAAGATCCTCGACTCCAACGTTCCGAAGGATGAGCACGGGGTCAAGCACTGGTAATCCATCCACTTCAGGGAGGAGGGGACCCTCACCTGGAAAGCCAAATCGTGGGAATTCTGCTTCTCCAAAACTAAGGGCATGGCAATCAACTCTCCCTGGCTTCTCCTCTGATCCACCTCCAAATCTTCGTACTTCTTTATCTGACAGACCATCGTCTCATGTGAGGGGCTTGTCACCTGCTTCAAGGAGTAGTAATGGGAGGGATGCTTCTGCAAGATTTGGGAGGCAATCGAAGTCACCAACTACTTCTAGGAGTGCTAGCTCTTCACACAGTCATGAGCGTGACCACTTCAGCTCTCAGAGTAAGGGCTCTGCAGTGTCATCATGTGAAGATGATGTGGATTCTTTGCAATCTGGTTTTTCAGGCAAGCATGCAATCTCTTCGGCCTCTTCGGATCATGTACCTAGAAGGAAATATGAAGCATTTTCTAATAATAAAGGCTTGACCTATCCAAAGAAGCCATCGGCAACACTATCAAACTCTGCCCCAAAGCGATACTTCAATTCCACCATGCGACAAATGGTATGCATAATTAATGTTTCTATACAACCGTGAATTGCTGACAGTATTCATGATTGATGTATTCATCTTTAAGTTTGCTTGTTATCAGTGCTTTCCATATCATATCGAGCCTCTCAGGAAGCTGCAGATTGAGAAAATTGTCATTTATTTCACATGAAAATCATTTTAAAACAGTTAATACCATGGCTTCCCTAGTATACTTGGAAATGAGGATCCTTGTTTCCCTAGTCTATTGAGATTCCAATGATTCTCGTTCAATAGTCTGATTATTAAGCTAATAACGACAGATGACCTTAATGATACGATTTGTTTACATCTGATTTCTCATAGCCACTTGGCCGTATGATATGTGCTGCAAAATTGGATCTCAAAATCCCAGAATATGTTATTGAAAAAGTGAAGTAGTAGAGCCTCGACATTCTCCAGTTGTTATTATAAAAAAATGCACTGTCTAGTTATTGATTCATTCTAAAGTTCTAGACTTACTGTCTAAGATACTTGTGAAATGGAAGGCACCACCTTAGGACTCCAGTTAGCCTGACTTCTCCAGACTGTGTATTGATGTATCCTTGGTTACTTTTATCATTGTTATAGGTGCTTTCCTTTGGCCAAGAATAACAAAGTAGCTTCTTTATCCCTTTAAGCCACAGTTTTCATGTTCTATAATTGTAATGATAGCCTCCATTAATGTTCATAACTCAGCATCCATTTAATGTTGGCATTGTTCTGCAGGATCATAGCAAGAGTCCACAAGGCATGTTCAGGCCACTCCTCTCAAGTGTCCCAACTTCTACTTTCTATGTTGGAAAAGCGACTAATTCGCAGCGGCCTTTGATCTCTATGAATTCTTCAGTGACGACAAGCAGTAATGCGAACTCAGATCAGGGTGCAAGTATTGCTCCTGATTTAGAAGCCAGCGATCATGATCAGGATGATCAAGAGAGAAATGAATGGGGCAAGGCGTTATTTCCTAATAATGCTCAAGAGGAAGTATTTGTTTTTGATAAAGTAGAAGGGCTTACTGAAGACCATAGTCATGACAACATGCTGCATGGAGTCAATTCAGAGGTTCATGAGATTATTTTACAGACAAATCCCACCACGAGCGACGTTGACACACATGATGATGTTGATGGTGATGGCTGCACTGTTCTTGAAGTTGATTCGAGAGACCCACAAAAGTTTGATGACATTGCTGAAGGTATACCCATCTTGGACATTGTAGGCGTTAAAAATGCTGCGCCTTGTGGTGAGGTGGTTAATTCTTGCTCCATTTCTGGAACAGCAAGAGATATGGATGAGACTGCGCCTGCTTGCCTAGAGTTGGAAGATAAGAATGCATTTCCTCAGAAGGCTACTTGTCCTAAGGATGCTAAATATCAGCAAGAGACTCCTGGGGAGCAGGTAACAGAAGTTCCCCTTGTCCAACCTGTTGGAGAGGCAGGTCATCAACTTCCTGTTGGTTATTTGGCTGGGAATATTGAAAGAGAAGCTTCACCAAATTTAGTGCATTGCAAAGTGGTTGGGCATAAAAGGGTGAATTCTGTCCACTCCAACCATGATATGGGGGATCTGCAACTGTGCTTTGAAGAGAATGATGGTCGGCAATGCACAAGAGTTGAAGGTCCAGCAGAGGGAACGGGAATATCTGTGCTTTTGCTGAAGGGATTGGGCAGTAGAAAATGGCCTGTTGTTCAAGGTAGGGTTTTCACTGCAACAAATATATCTTGTGATGATCCTACTTATGTACGGGATAGTGGTAGCTCTTCCAGGGGTGGCATTACTGTGCTTGGTGGTGTTTCACCTTCACCTTCAACTGATTTGGCCTCGACTAGTAGACAAATGGACACCCGGTTTCATCGGCAGTTCAGCGCTCGGAGAGATGCGGAGAACACCGGAAATGATCATAATGTGAGGCCTCAAAGCTCTAGCTTCAGTGTTTCTGGTGCTTCAAGTAATTCGTATGAACCTGAGGTTCACAGAAAGAACATGTGGCAAGAGAAATTTGATGATTATGTTCATGATAGAGAGTCTGAGCATTTGGATGGAACTGATTTAAGTGATGAAAAGGATCTCGGAGTTTTGAAAAAGATACATTCTACTATGCTCGACACCTTTGGTGTGGAACAAAATATAACCCAACACACAGAAAGGCACAAAGAGGTAATGGGGGCCTCTGGCCATGAATTATCTATCCGTGCACAGAGTCTTCGGTTAGAGGAGTCTTCAATGCCAATAACTCAAAATTTGATTGAGTATTGCATTTCTATTGGGAATGGAGAAGACCTAAACAGTGTGAGCAATATCTCAGCAACAGAGAAAGAGTTGGTGAACCCAGATTCCTCATTCCTGGAGGCAAATGTTGTACCCGATAGCAGTGAATTGACAGTTGATGTATCTGACCACATGCACAGTACCCCTGGTAGGATGGCAATTGTGGATGAAGATGAGCATGAGAGTGACACTGGCTCAAGAACTGCCTATGCCTTGACAAAGAGCATCCTCGAGGCATCCCAAGATTCATTTTCATCTGCAGCGGAGCAGAAGAAGGATATGGACGCATCATCTATTGTTCTAGAATTTGGTAATTCAGACTTTGCCCATCGTATTGAAGGTTTAATGCTATTTACTTATTCACTTTCAACTTGAACTTGTTTGCATCTGTCAAGTTTCAAGTTTGTGCTGTCCCATATCTGCAATGCTTTATTGTATTTAATTGTCTATTGTTTGACATTCACACTTTATAGTTCAAACTTTTACAAATAGAGTTGAAACTATTAAGGCTGTTTTAGATGATGTACGAAACATGTATTTCATTACTTATTTGCTAAATGCTAGATATGGGAGGGATTATAATATTAGACAATTATCAACATCATCATCTGTTTTGCTATTTCATTGTTGTTGTTGTTGTTGTTACATTCCATGATGGATTTATGTCCTTTTTATATTTCTTAAATTTTTATTTCTTCTATAATTTTCTCACAAATTGATGAGAGTGGAGTTAAATATTTATGCAAAATTTTCTCTGGTGGTTGTTTCAGATGTTTTCTCACTTTGATAGTCTTACTTTGGATTAGCTATATTTCCTGGAATGCTTTATGCTTTATTCATTACATTTGTTTTCTGAATTTTGGTAAATTAACAATTACTGTTTGGTTTCCATTTTTTATTGAGAAATTATTTCCTAAATGGTTATAATGCATTCCATTGGAAGTAATTGCAAGCTATATAAGCAATATATCCTTTATTTGCCAGTAAAGGGGGCTTCTAATAATTTGATATTGTTTAATTTGTGCATGAATTACTGAAGTGGAATCTTAAAAGTTTTTACGTTGCATTGAAATACACATCAGGATGGTTCTCGGTGGTATACCTTTTTAACTTTTTGAGTCATTTAATCAGTGGGTAACTATCTGAAAATCAGAAGTCTAAATCATTTAAGTGTTATCCTTGCTGTAAACTTTTGAGCCTTAAAATGGCAGTGAATACATTTAGACGACTAGCCTCCATTGAAATTGTTAATGTTTGTTGCCTAGTTGCTCTAATGCTTCTTTAGAACAAATATCGATCGAATGGGATTTGTCCAGTTTGGTTTCATAAATGATAAGACAATCCAATGAAATAGAACAAAATAATATGCATGATAGAATAACACATTAGCCTTACGTAACAGTGATACGTGGTTCCAGTAACCTGACAACCCTTCGTAACTACTCATGTCACACATTTCCAGTGCTATTGACTGGTATGTCTATCATGAGAGTCTCAGAATGCAAATAAATATTCGACACTCGAATAGATTTAGCTGTACCCCTTTTCTGCATGCATTTTGCTATCCTTTTATGTGGACCCTATACCAATAAAACTTGAGCATTGCTCCAAAGTTGAATTTGGTGTCCCATAGGAGCCTTGCTCCATACAATTACAAATTGCACATTTTGGTTGAAAGCCTTGAATGCTTAGCCATGATTTTACCTCACTCTGGTCTTAGTAGTAGATCAGCAGTGATGCCTATGAAAATATTGCTGTTCCTCTCTGTCCCTATGAATATTTTTATGTTGCTGTGGAACACGGCTCTTTGAGTTTGGCACCATCAATGAACAGATATATGGTTCCAACCTTTGCAGCTCCAACCTTCTTGTCCCTAACCTCCCAACATGGAAGAAAGTATGGATATGTTCCTGAGTTTTCCTAGCATCACAAACTTGTAGCATTGAGCCATCTTACAATTTGGTCCCTAGCTGCACAAATTCATGTAGCTGTTAGATTACACATACACTGCTGAATGTTGCAGTTGCGAAAATCATTTTATCTATGCCAACCAAATGGGGAGATGCACCTCAGAGGGGATCCTCCTTGCACCAAACTCTCCTATTGTGGCTGCAAATATTCTCTAATGCCCAGATCACCAAAGTGATCATCTAATCTCTCACCCCTCCTAACATAATTATGGTTGTGGAACACAATGAAGTTTACTTCATCATCCTTTGCAGCTAGATCCTCCATGAGAGTCAATGCCCATGCTTAACTTGCAATCTACTCAATTGTCCTCTTATTTGCAATCGTTTTCATTTCATGCCAAATTTTCTATTCATATTCTTATGTCAATGAGTGGGACTATGCTTGAGTTTCTTTTTCCAATATCCACTCCCCTTCCATTTCTAACAATTGTACACACGCCACCTAATATCTTCCTTTATCCTTTCTTGGGTGTTCACTAGCCCAGGTTTTAGAGATGTTACACGCAAATCTACAATTGTTGTAAGGACCAAGTCCTTGCATGTTACATAGAAAGATGTATGCTGCTAGAAGTCTTAGAATGGTGGGCTTATGTTATAAACTTTCTATCTCACCCTTCACAGTCACACTCCTAACCTAAATCTCACAACCTTGTAGTGGCATTTCACATCTCTTGTAGATGGTTCTCTCACTCATACACTTTTGAGATGATCTTTCCTTTCGGTATGAAATTTTTTACCTTCCATTGTGTATGAAGGATCATTTTTTGGATTTTGGAATCATGGGCAAAAATCCTTTCATGCCAAGTTGTCCAAAGCAGAATTATGAGAGAGGCCTTCCAAAGCTTAAGTATAGCTTTGTTGTTGTAATTTCTTTTGGACCGAAATGTCAGAAGCCTTTGGAGGTTAGTTTCAGTGACAGTTTGGGGGTTAAATGTCCTTAAAATTGCTTTCCAAATCTCTCCTGTGAAGGTGCATCTTATGAATATATGTTTGTGATTCTCCGTGTCCCCTTTACTTAGGGATGATCCATTGCAACATTCTACCACATCTTTGACATCTGTTGGTTTTGGAAAGTTCCATTTGGAAAGATGCCCTAGGAAACCATGATCCCCAGGGATCTGTTGGTTTCTCTTATGCTGCCTCAAGTACTTGATTTTGCAACCTAGGTCATAGTTTTTGGGATCGGGAGCCAGAGTAGGAGTGGTAGCAGGCGGTTTGTCCCTTGCATGAAGTTCCCTGCCTCAGGAGCTTGACCGTTGTATAGATATTATGTATTATATATAATATATCAAAAGTTCCTTACCTCAGAAGTGTATGGGATCACTCGTCTGGAGCACCAAGGGATCATATGTATTAGGTATTACATATATGGAAAAGGTCAAATTAAGGCCTAGGCTTTATGAAACAAAGTAAATCTGTATCTTAAATCTTACCAAAAAAATAGCAGCATCAAATCGATCATCTTGAACTTTACTATTATGAATGTGAGAAATAAAAGGATTTCAAACTTAAAAAATAATGTATCTTGAGACCCAAAGTATTTTTTAGATGAGGTTTTGAGGTGAGGCTTTACTTTTATCTATAAGGCCTAGGGCTTATAGGAATCGCATGATATATACCCGTTGTTTGTAAACTATAAGTCTTTCCAATGTTAAAAAAGACAGAGGCCCTGACTGCCTAGGCAGGCGACCAGATACATGGGCTTAAGGTTTTTTTTTTTTTCTTTTCTTTTTCTACTTTTTATATGCTGACAGAGATAGAGTGAGTCCATGAGAGAGAAGGGGGACCCCCATCAAACACTTGGAGATCATCTTATTCTTTTTCGTCTTCCTATATGTAGAGCGAGAGAATATGGGTCCATGTGTGTGTCTGTGTATCTTGTGCCTCGCATTGAACACTTGGAGGTCATCTTCTTTTTCTTCTTCTTCTCATACTCAGAGAGAGCTCATGGGCCTGTGAGCAAGAGGGAGGGCCCTGCTTACAATGCGCCCCTCGACTGATGGCCTTTTCGGCCCTTGGCCAAGTTGCATCGAGGTGCCGCCTTGAGGTGGCTGCCTAGGGGTGCCTTGGGCGCCTTGGAGCAAGATTGCCTTGGTGCCTGCCTAGGGCATATGCCTGCCTAGGGCATATGCCTATGTGTTTTGGGAGGCGGCCTGGCAGTCAATGTTTTTAACACCGACTCCTTCCTAGTTCAATGAAGAAGGGCCACCTCTTGGATTTCAGCTTGATTCTTATATTAATAATTCTTTTTTTTGTTTTGTTTTTTGAAGGAGGATGACCACTTGGCTGGGGTGGTTGTACGTCGCATAAACTCATAAACTACAGTCAAAGAAATTCAAAGAAAAAAATTATTCTATAGTGATTGGACTTTTTTTAAAATTTTCTAAAATTTAAATTTCTCCAAACTACAATCAGATGAGTACAAAAGTATTAAAATATTATAGAACAATTAGATTTGTATAGTTCTTCATAAACTTTTATATCTTAAAAAAATTATTAATTGATTATGATCTTGTACAAACTAACCTTCTGAGTTAGGGAACCCTAGTTAAGTTCACATGAGGACCTTGATTATTACCACTTGGAGCTCGGACTAATAGGATATTTCATTACAAATTTGGTATCAAGTTCCATAACATTTGGAAGCGAGATCCTTAAATTTTAGGAATCTAAGGAATCTTCTAGCCTATTACAATCCCTCGCTTTAGATCGCGATCCTGATCCCGATCTCAATCCTAATAGCTATTATTATGCTAAGTGGGATGAGGTTCCATGCAAAATGGGATTGAGATCCCATATAAGCAAATGCAATCTCCCTAGAAGAATCAGCTTTGGGAACACAGACCCCTATTCCCAGAGTGGGGCACCTCCTAGGTAAGGCGCTCCGTATAGCTATGCTATGCTCCTTAATTGCTTCATGTATGCTTTTTGAGATGATTCCTCATAGTTATTTGGTACCCAAGGAGTGGTATTTTCTCTTCCCTACCTATAGGTGACGTGCCATGCTTCCATTAGCTTTTTATATCTTTGACAAGAAAGTTGCCTTGAATTCCCATGACTAGAAATTTTTAATAAATTTTCCATTCCTAAATCTCTATGATTTCTTCTCCAAAGATGTTCTATCATTAAGCTGTCAGACTAAAAATTAATTTGGGGTTTGTTACCAGTATCGTGTTGGTTATTTTGTTTAATATCTGGTTCTGCCTCTCAAACGCCCCAAATGTCCTTCAATTAATGTGTTATTCCTCCATACAGCATACTCACTTTCAATATGTGAAGACAGTTAAAGACGGTCTTAACTGAAAGATGCCTATCTTTTGAGAGTAGTTAAGAGTGTCAT